AGTCATCTTTACAAATAAACCTTCACTAACACTCAGAACTAGCGATAATGGTACCCCAAATGAAAATGCCAAGTTGATCGACATGACACTGTAATATTATACTTCCTCCTGGTACAGTGTCATGTCGATCAACTTGGCATTTTCATTTGGGGTACCATTATCGCTAGTTCTGAGTGTTAGTGAAGGTTTATTTGTAAAGATGACTAAACAGCTAAACTAATTTTGGGTGTTAGCGGCCTTTCCAAATATCCTGTTTTCAATGTCACCCTCACCCTCACCCTTAAAAAAACCGTACTAGTAGGCATACAGAGTCACTGATAAAATAGTAAAAGCAGCTGCTCTTGCTATTTTATCAGTGACTCTGTATGCCTACTGGTACGGTTTTTTTGAAAAACCTAAACATGAATTATTTTGATCTTTGTTTAAAAGGGTATTAAAAGGTTTTCTTCCACAAAAAACCGTATCAACAGAGAGTCATGTTGATCAACTTAACATTTTCTTTTATGTATTATTTCCGCTTTTTCTGAGTGTTAGTAAATGTTTATTTGTAAACATGGCTAAAAAGCTCAGTTGTTAAGGACTGTTTTGGGTGTTAGTATACTGACCAGCTCTAGCGACTGGCTATCTCGTTTATAGATTTGGGAGTATTAGGCTGTTGCATCTTATACAAATAGCATAAAAAGTGTGCGTAAATATAGACGTTCATGCAATTATAACAGAAACCGATTCTAATTTTAAATTTTATCTTACGATCATGATCGTCCACTTATATTTAGTATTCATAGAAAGACATTTAGAGGTTTAGGTTCTTATAAGAAACTAGCAGTTTCATTTGGTGATCGATTAAAAAACTAATCAAGCCCATGGCTCACATTCTTTTAGGTTAATTTCAATTTGGGACTCATCTCGTCTAATGTCAATTATCTTGAATGCTGAATATGGTAGAATTAGAACTTCTTGTTCATCTTCATATATAGATACTTTTTCTATATCTAATGCTGTATTTTGATTTCTTATTTCATAGATGCAAATTGCGTCGAATCTATGATCACCACCAGAACTACTGACAAATCTTCGTGCAACTGACATTTCTTTTGACGTCGATGAAAATGTTTTTGTTAATATACGTGTGCCAATTTTGTATTGTTTTAAGTCATCATTTGTAATCAAAATACCACGATATGTTGTCCCAACGTATGATAGTGCATCAAATTTTGGATGACGAGCTATGATAGCGATAAGATAGGCTCGGCTGAGGTTGTCCTCAGCTGTTAAATTCTCAAGACGTAATTGAGCAAGGTGGACATTAAGTGTAGAGTAGAAACCGGTATCAGCTGTATATGCTGTAATCAAATAGAGAGGATCACGTTTCACAATAGCACGATCAAAATAATATCTGATAGTGTCGATACCATCAATTTCTTTCAAGTCTTTTTCAACATAATGCCGTTTTATATGATCGATGAACTGATAAAACTTTGGATCTTTACCATACGCTGCCAGCTTTTTCCAGTATTCATGTGCTTGATAATCAGCATCATTTGTGGCTAGAATCCATTCAACTGTTACACTACAAAAACGTGTATTTTTTCGACGAGTGATGATCAATTGTTTAATTTCATCTGTTTTTGCTTCTTCTAATGGTGTACTGTTATATTTGTTGATTATTGCATGATTTGCACCTTTTTGTAGAAGCAGTTCGACGATTTCTTTGCGACCTTGATAGGAAGCAACATGAAGTGCTGTTGAACCATTTGGCTCAATCCTGTTGATGCTCGCCGGTGTCATTGTTTCAAGAAGCTCTCTGACCAATTTAATGTTATTATTTCGACAAGCAATGTAAAAACAACTGATCCCAGTAGAACTGGCTACAGGTACAGCTAAAGATATAAAGACGAAGATGGTGAGAGAACGCATCTGTATAAGGAGATGAACCAGACCTGACAACTTCCGACATCTAGGTATACAGAAACTAGAATTTGGCCGCGTTTCTCAATCATTTCTAGCCGTCGGACTCCCTTATATCGCCAGCATCATTCAACATAAGTGGTGTTCGTCTCAAGGTCCTTGCAAGAAAAGTATGATAGAGTATACCAATGCAGAGAGTATCGAGCGCACAACAAGCATAGTTATGGACGTGTTAGTTCACTGCGACATAGTGAACAAATATATTTTGTTCGAACCAGTAGAACGAAACACCTGCAATCTAATGGTGGAGGAATTCGGTCTCGATCTAGCTTTACATTCGAGTGGTACTCAATTTACTTGAAAAATTCCTGAAGTTTGACCTCGATTTTCTCCTAAACGCTGCGAAAGTTTTTCGAGATTTTTTCAGAATAGGAACTATTGTCGGTAAAAAAAAAGAATGGACACGGATGTTTCTTGAATAACGTTCCACAGGAAAGTGGTAGATGCTTGCTGTCTCGACCAATTGAAAGCCAAGGCCCGACTACATCTTTCCATCACGAAAGTCATTTTCAAAATCTTTTTCTAAAGTAGGTTTCTCAGAGGGTCTTTGGGAAGCTATATCATAGCTCAAAAACTTGAAATACAAATAGTTCGATTTGTTTTCATGGATAGATAGTCCAAAGTGTCCTCTTCAAAATGGGAGTCAAGCGAGGCTCGGGTTACATGTCCACATGCCAGGTCAAAATTTTTACAGTCAAACCGTCACCGTTACAAGTAACGGCCGTTACTCGTTATCGGTAACGGTAACTGGTAACGGTCCATCCCTTGTTGGGACCCGAACATGTTCCTGATTCTCCCCATGCGAACCATTCGGTCACCGAACTATCGGATTAGTGCATGCCTAACTAGTATTCAAGAAAACGCGTTCCATTGAGTCTTTTTACAGATGGAGCAAAGTTCTTTGCAATACGTGTTTATCTATAAAACCTCGAAAAACATGATATATGACACATACACATAAAAACTGTACTTGTGTCTGCGTTTGAATAGCAAAAGAGAATAGCCTCATTACATTTAGACATTTTACCTGTGATGAAAATGTATGTCACTTAGTGAGCAAATGGAAAAAATGGAAACTCAATCAGATATACCTACCTTGCTTTGGATACGGTGTCCTTGTAGCGTTCGTTCCTGAAGGATATGAATAAACAGGAGGCAGAATACCAAATGCATCGGACATTTGCGATATTAAATTAGCTAAATCTGATGAGGACTGAAAAAAGAAAAAACGTAAAGTACTACCATTGATAATTATTTACAAAATATCAACACTAGATGTTGGTAGGGCAACAGAGAAAACTGGCTGAAGTAGAAATATCGGCTTACATGTCTCCATGATGTTAAATACGGAATAACAATATAGCCATCAGACTCAACATTGTACGATACTGCTATGTACATATCGGATGTTGGTCTCACATAACACATAGGCGGGTTACTTGGGTAATCATCGGTCAACCAGATTTGTATAGGTATATTGTAACGCCTACCTAGAATACAGAAATAAATGAATTAACATTATACTATACTTTTATTGTACACAACGCCGCAGCATAGAGAATTTTTTCACAGAATTGTAGAAATTCTATGTGCTTTAGGCATTTTTTTACATTATGAGTGCTAAGACAGCTATATGCAGTTTTTTTTATGAACTATGTAGAATAAAAGACGACCACGAGCTCTGTGATTTTATTAGAAACAAGAAACCCAATGCTTTGTCTAAGATATGATTGAATGTGGGTTACCGTAGCGCTAACTGTAAAATCTGCAGAAAAGGAAGAGAAATATTATTGCTGTACAACGAATAAATTGTATAAAAAGGTGACTTTTTTCTTACATACCTTTAAAAGTCACAGCCACTGTTCCGGTTAAACATAATAAATCTTTGGATGAACCATCATTGAAATCTGAACAAAAAAGTAACAATGTTCTCAGATTTTATAAAACATATAGGAAGAAGAACTAATGAAACTGATATTGAACGTTGACGGAGTACTGTTACATTTTTATCACGGAACTCTTATTCTGTTAAAGTTCAGTCACTATTTATGAAAAACATTTTCCTATACTAATTTTATCGCTTTACCTATTATAAATTTTGCATTGTTAAAGAAAAGAAAATGGTTTAATTCGTACTTACAGTATAGGCTAATTTTCAACACTAGTGCGGTGTGCGGATGTCTTATTGCTTGTATTATATCTCGCCGTATTAAATCACGATTTTCAGGCTTAATTAAAATAAAGAAAACACAATAAATCATATCATTCAATAAAGAAATTTCTTCTTACATTAACCCTTCTTATCAAGTCATCAATTTGGTTTAGACTTTGTTTTGCCATTTTAGTCTTTCATTCTGAAATTATTCTGAAATTGAGCAGTAACAGCACAAGAATTATTATAAAATTGTGGTGACATATTTTCTTCTTCTCGTAACTCATTCTTAATCTCAAGAAATATATAGCTTTGGGTTATTTTCACGTTATCTTGTCATTCACAGAAAAAGTATTAAAGAAACTTTAAATAGAACGATATCAAAAAAAACTAACAGGAAACATATAACACATATCTCAATGAGTCATACAGTACAACTGGCATCTAAAAAGCGAGATATCTCTTCTCCCACAAAATATGCATATGCAAACATTGGCACACATGTGTCGTAAGAGAATGAGAAAGAAAAAAATACAGCGTTGTCTCTGCTTGTCTCTTTTCTATTATCATCACTGCGGAGTGCTTAGATGAGTACATCAATACACTTAAAAATTTGTGAATATTTTGATTTTCAAACCTATTTATATAGAGCGTTTCTTTTTTTCAGCTCTGCTTATCGCAACTTTGCAGAAGGCTTCTGCAAAGCTGTAATAGATTCATGCGATGGATTCATTGCAAAACACAGTATTTTTGAAATGAATCTCATTTAATCACAGAAGATCAAATCTTAACTTGCTTAAAAGGGGTATATTGAAAAATATAGATTTGGGTCCTTCCGCGCAAGTCCGCACACTATTACATTCACTATTAACCCCAAATATTCCACTTTGCCCATCGTGTAGAACATCAAAAATAATCTAAAGGTCTCGCTTACTCTTTTTTGAAAAATGTGTGGAAAGTGGTTTTCTAGACACCTCAAGTTTTTGGTGAGAGTGAAACCGAAGTCGGTGAAAATGAACGAAACATTGCATAATTATACATCAAATTGTAGCTCTTGACGAGTTGATTCTAATGGTGGAGGAATTCGGTCTCGATCTAGCTTTACATTCGAGTGGTACTCAATTTACTTGAAAAATTCCTGAAGTTTGACCTCGATTTTCTCCTAAACGCTGCGAAAGTTTTTCGAGATTTTTTCAGAATAGGAACTATTGTCGGTAAAAAAAAAGAATGGACACGGATGTTTCTTGAATAACGTTCCACAGGAAAGTGGTAGATGCTTGCTGTCTCGACCAATTGAAAGCCAAGGCCCGACTACATCTTTCCATCACGAAAGTCATTTTCAAAATCTTTTTCTAAAGTAGGTTTCTCAGAGGGTCTTTTGGGAAACTATTCGCGCTAGAATAGAAAATTTATTCTTTTTTCATTTCGTTCGTTAAAACGTAAACGTTCTTATATCTATTAAATTATTTTATTTGAAAACGAATACATAAATATATATCTATGTGTAACTTGTCTTGCATTTATTTGCTGAAATAATAAATTGAGTGCAATGACGGTCACCTTACCGTTGAATTCCCACAAATTGTAACGGGTGCGGCCTCTCAGTATTTTCTATTTTTCTTGTGTTTCTTTAGCATCAAATGGTTAATGTTTTTTTAAAAAGATGCACCGCGAAATGCCCTATAGAGACAAAAACAGTCGATTTTGGTCTTGTTCGATGTACATCTCGGTATCCACTTGAGATGAAAAGTTTGTTTTTTTCACAAGTGAATGATCATTACTGAACAAACAAAACAGTAAAACGAAATTTAAAATCTGTTGAGCGAAATATGTTTTACTAGCAAAACGATCGCCGATAACCAACGGTACAATGGCTATGCAATTCACTCACATACATTTGATAGAATGCGAACAAGCTGGGATATCTGTTTAGAAGATTTTCCAAATATTTCTTTTGACATATGCGGAAAGAATGTGCACGTCCATTCAACTGAACACTGACATATTCGTTAAATTCAAGAACTATTTCAATATTGTATCACCGATTGTATATCTGTACACTGTAAAAAATAAAGTATGTAAATGACACACATTAAGTGATCAAAAAACGAAAAACGAAAGCATTACGTCTTTTTATCAGAAAATATAAAAGAGTTCTTTGTCTACTCTCGTATAGACTTTACATTCTCTTATCAGTTACCTTGTAAAAGGACGTGAATTTCTTTTCAATGAATATGATCGTTATTAACAAAACTTTTTCTTTCAGTTATACTCATCGTTAGGAAGGAAACAAATCTTACTCATTTCTTTGCATCATATAAAGAAAATAATTGGAAAAAACCGACGGTTATAAATGTTAAACATAATAAAGTGTGATTAACCCTTTTAGTCTGTTACATGATTCGCTGTCCTCAGACATCATGTAAGACTGAAGCTGTTATTGCGTAATCAGTTATTATTGCATAATCAGTCGTTATTGCGTAATCAATTGTTATCGCATAATCAATTGTTATTGCGTAATCAGTTGTTATTGCATAATTCATTTTTCGAAATAAACTACTACGAAACACACTTGGACTTAGTTATCAATATAAACCGGGCTATCAAGTGGTGCGTTAGCCGGCTTACTGTCAATCCCACATCACAGAAGTAGAAGAACAATAGTAATGAATCTCAAGGAAGCATCAAATCCAATATATGAATAGTGATTGTGTCGCCGGCAGAACCAGATCAAAAAACAATCTTCAACTGTCACAATCTAGCAACAGCACCTTTGAAGTAGCAGAGGAATCGCAAGATCCAATAAAAATGCCGGACTTTGCAGAGCAGTCGATGATAGCAAAAATCACAAAGGAACTCCCAACGTTTTCCGGTGCAGTTGGTGAAGATTCACATAAGTGGCTCACCATAATAAAATCCAAATTTGCTATGCTGAGATTTGACAATGAACAATGCCGACGTTATATTCTTCAACAACTGCTTGGTGAAGCTCAAGATTGGTATTTGGCACAATCGACAAATTTCAGTGATTGTGATTGGGCCTCGTTCCAAGCAGTCTTCTGTCTCAGATATCCACAACAACGACATCAAACCAATTCAATGTTAATTCTTCAACAGCTAAAAGACCGAAAACGGCATACAACTGAACCATTTGTTAATTATTATAATGACTAATTATTAAAAATTGGTATGAAAGTCACATTGCTGGAAAAGTCATCTCAAATGATATTAAACACCCTCAAGAGCTACTGACCCAAGTGCAACAAATTGAACTAAATCAGAAAATCATTGATTTACGAATGAGTGAAGGAGAGACAACTTCACCTTCCGTTCTG